TCTCAATCCATTCTCCGCCCAGCCTGTACTTGTGCTTGGCATTGCTCCGACCCACATCCAGGACCTTGCACTTGGCCTTGTCGAACTTCGTAAGGTTCACACGGGTCCACCTCTCCAGCCTCTCCAGGTTCGTCTGGATGGCATCCCTTCCCTCCAGCATGTCCACAACACCACACAGCTTGGTGTCATCTGCAAACTTGCTGAGGGTGCACTTGATCCACTGTCCATGTCACCAACAAAGATGTTAAATAGCACTGGCCCCAGTACTGAGCCCTGGGGAACACCACTCGTCACTGGCCTCCACTTGGACATTGAGCCTTTGACCACAACTTTTTGAGTGCGACCATCCAGCCAGTTCCTTATCCATGACTTTGTCCATCCGTCAAATCTGCGTCTCTCCAATTTAGAAACAAGGATGTTGTGCGGGACAGTGTCAAATGCTTTGCACAAGTCCAGGTACATGATGTCAGTTGCTCTTCTCCTATCCACCAACGCTGTAACCCCATCATAGAAGGCCACCAAATTAGTCAGGCAGGATTTGCACTTAGTGAAGCCATGTTGGCTGTCAGCAATCACCTCCTTTTTTCCATGTTCCTTAGTATAATTTCCAGGAGGATCTGCTCCATGATCTTGCTGGGCACAGAGGTGAGACTGACTGGCCTGTAATTTTCTCTTTTTTAAAATCAGGGCTATATTTTCCGTTTTCCAGTTGGTGGGAACTTCACCAGACTGCCATGACTTCTCAAATATAATGGGTAATGCTTTAGCAATTTAATCTGCCAGTTCCCTCAGGACCCACGGACGCACCTCATCAGGTCCCATGGGCTTGTCCACCTTCAGGTTCCTTAGATGGTCTCGGACCTGATCTTCCCCTACAGTGGGAGGTTCTTCATTCTCCCAGTCCCTGCCTTTACCTTCTGTGACTTGGGCTGTGTGGCTGGAGCTCTTGCCATTGAAGACTGAGGCAAAGAAGTCATTGAGAACCTCAGCCTTCTCCATATCCCGGGTAACCAGGTCTCCTGTTTCCTTGTGGAGGGGGCCCACGTTTTCTCTAGTCCTCCTTTTATCACTGACATACCTATAGAAGTTTTTTTTTTATCACTGACGTACCTGTAGAAGCTTTTTTTGTTGCCCTTGATGTCTCTGGCCAGATTTAACTCCATCAGGGCTTTAGCTTTCCTAATCTGAGCCCTGGTTGATCGGCCAGTTTCTCTGTGTTCTTCTCAACCTCCCTGTCCTTGCTTCTACCCTCTGTAGGCTTCCCTTTTGTGCTTGAGTTGGTGCAGGAGCTCCTTGTTCATCCATGCAGGCCTTCTGACCTTTTTGCCTGAATTCCTCTTTGTTGGGATGCATGATTCCAGAGCTTGGAGGAGGTGATCCTTGAATATTAACCAGCTTTCTTGGGCCCCTCTTCCCTCCAGGGTTTTCTCTCATGGGACTCTACCAAGGAGATCCCTGAAGAGGCTGAAGTCTGATCTCCTGAAATCCGGGGCAGTGAGCTTGCTGAGCATCCTCCTTGGCTCCCTAAGGATCTTGAACTCCACCATTTCATGGTCACTCCAGCCAAGGCTGCCCTTGAGCTCCACATTCCCCACTAGCCCCTTCTTGGTGAGAACAAGGTCCAGCAAAGCACCTCTCCTCATTGGTTCCTCTGTCACTTGGAGAAGGAAGTTACCATCAACGCATTCCTGGAATCTCCTGGATTGGTTCTGCCCTGCTGTGTTGTCCCTCCAACAGATATCGGGGTGGTTGAAGTCCCCCATGAGGACCAGGGCTGTGAACGTGAGGCTGCTCCTGTCTGTCTATGGAGGGCCTCACCCACTTGGTCCTCCTGCTCAGGCGACCTGTAGCAGAGCCCCACCACAATGTCACTTGTACCTTTAATCCTGACCCCATAGCTCTCAGTTGGCTCCTCATCCATCCCCAGATGGAGCTCCACATGCTCCAGCTGGTCTGTGACAAATCATGCACATACCCCGTGTGTCTGGCACCTACGAGCACGACCTTTTTAACGGGGCGCGTTCCAGACTAAAAGGAAGGCAAATGGGAACTTTCCATTTTGTGCGGTGACTTCTCACTTTGAAGAGGTGAAACGTTAGCATTTTCCCTTTTTTTAACGCAGACAAATTGTAGTCAGGCGTAGTTAATGTGGTAAACTAGTAGTATTTGTCTTGGAGTAGTAAGATACTCGCCAGACTGTTTGTTGTTGCTTAGACTGGTATTAAAAGCTGAAGGTCGTTGGATGCTGTAATGTGGTTACAAATGTTGTAGAGATGAAGGACAGTCATGTTGAATTTACTGGTTCGGAGTGAGACGCGTACCAACAAAAGGTTGACTGTAGTTGTGCATGGAAACAAAGTGCAAGTGAAGGCTTGAAGAATGTCCAGAATACAAGAGAAATAAACTGGTGGTAGAAGAGTATGGGTAATAAACCATGTGGTGATGAGGGAATTAAACTGAGGGCTTGAGGGAATAAGCTTAGAAGGTTGAAATTTTGTGACCTTTATGATGGGACGTTGCTGGTCCAATGGATGCAGAGGATGTTAGATGAGTAACTTCAGACTTACTCCGAAGCAGTTTGTTTCAAGAGCAGCTCAAGAACCTTGCACACGATCCAAAAACACACCTATTTTTGGATTGAAGACCAACTGCTTGAAAACTGGAAAATAAGTAATTTGTATTCAAGGTGGTGGTTTTTTTTCCCTTTTTCTTTCTTTCTCCTGGATTGATGACTGAAATGGTTTGGAAAGATTACTGGTTAAGAAAACTCTTGAAATACGTGGATGTTGCATACTAAACCACCTTTGTAGACTAATATTTTGATTTTGAGAGATAGACGTGCCTCAAGAAATGTCTGCTTCCCCTTCTTCGGTGGCATCTGTGTATCAGTTAAAGGGCTGAGATGGAGGGACCATTTCCAGTGGAGCTGAACGTGTTGACCCAGATCATCTCCTTCTGGGTGATGTATGTGAGCGAGGTGGGATCCCGTCAGCCCTGCTGGTGCCTGCAGTGGACTCTGGGGTTGGTGCACGTAACCTGTTACCACAGAGGGACTGATCATAAAGCTTTAAGCTGAGACTGTACAAATTACTGGTTGATTTCACTTTAAAAAGGGAATTTTACATCTTAATTTTACTCCTTGGATTTTGATCACATGCCAGACTAGTTACTCTCATTTATTCCATTCCATACAGGTTCCTGTTCCACACCCACCTCAATGGTATCAGAATGTCTTCCAGACTTCTTACCAGTAAAAACTATTAGCAAACAAGACTAGCAGCTGTCAAATGGGGCTCCCTCTCCATTTCTCTCTACACATCTTTCCTTTGGGAGGAGAAGAGGAGGAGAATAGCATGTGAGTTGTTTGAATTTTGATTAAAAAAACCCTCAATTGTATGTTTCGTACATAAATTAAGGTTTGTTTTTTTTGTTCTTGAGTGATGACATACAGAGTAGAAACAGTTGTTTTTGTGTTTTTGTGGTTTTTTGTGTGTTTTTTTTTTTTTTTCACTTTTTGTGAGGATTAGCTTGTAGCTTCTGTCCTATGTGGGAGGGGTTTTGCAACTGTTTACAGGGAAGTCTTGCCTTTCAAGGCAAAGATTTCATCTTGACAGTGATCTTGTGTTAGTTTTTGGGTTTCTTTTGTTTCAAGTACAGCTTTTCAAGACACTCAAGACCATCAAGGCTGAAGTACTGTGTGGGGATTTTCTCTATTTTTTTTCCTTTTTCTTCTTTTTAGAACTTGCCTTGGATGGACAAATTGATTGATCTATGATTCTATGAAATTGTTTAGCAATAAGGACTGAGATCTTTTAAGCTTTACTGGTCCCTCTGCTAGCTGTTTAAATACTCGTGCAGCTGGCAGTGACCTCTTTCAGTGCAGGGTGGTTCTGTTGCGTTCTGTGCCCATTGAAGTTTCCGAAATCTCAGTCTAAATTGCATTTTGCTGTAATCTAGGGAGCAGGTGATAAAGGCACATACTTCTAGAGTGAAGCCCGTGAGGATACCTCGTGGAGCTGAAGACAAGCAACTGATGTGTCCGTGCACGGGGAGCGATAAAAGCCTAGCTGTTGGGGAAACACCACACCCTTCCTGGTGGCATGTTCTAGACAGATGGGCAACCACGCTGCCAAAAAACCCTTCAAATAGATGACCCCCAGCAGATAATCTGCCTTTCTGTAGTCTTGCATTAGTCGTCATCCTCCTCTGTATGCTGGGCTCCAGCTATGGCAGCTTGCTGGAGGGAGCAGGGTAGGGTATAAATCCAAATTCTGGAGCAGGGGAAGGCGATAGAGCTATATGTGCTTCTTCAGAGGAGGAGACCTTAAATAAACCATATGGATATTAAAAAAAAAATTGCCCTACTTCAGCATATTTAAATCAGTGCCATACATGAATTTCATTTTATTTCTAATGCATTAGTATTGTAGTAGCTTGTTTTATACCAAGGTCCACATCAGCTTAGAGCAGCAGAAAACTTCTGAAGGAAATTTGGATTTGACTAGCAATCGTGTTTGAAGCATGTACATAAATGACAGCAAACCGAATTATCAAAGAGGCTTCTCATCTTGACACTAACTTTCAAGGTGACGGTGCTGAATTCCTCTTTCCTAAATGAGATGATAGTAATTTTCTGAATAGAACTTAGTAACTAATTCTGGTGCTCATGTTCTCTTACAAAAAAACCCCACAAAACAGTGTAGCTGTCATGTAGACAGAAAGAGATCTGAAAGAAAAACTTGGAATTTTGTTTAGCTAGAAGAGAAGAAACATAAAGGATTTTTTCATCCCCCCTGGAATCAGATTCTGTTTCTTTTAAGAGGAAGCAAGTGATCTACTGGGAAATATTAATGACACCAGTTCTTTGGCTGAAGGCTTTTGGGTTTTCATATTTAAGAATATATTTTTCAGACTTTAGTTTTTTAATACTGTTAAATGCAAGTGCCTGTGTTCAGGTATTCCATCACTCTCTTGTATTTCTTTTTCAGGAAAAGTGCAAAATGTTTCAAATTCCTGTTCAAAATCTTGATAATATCAGGAAGGCTCGAAAAAAGGTGAAGGGCATTCTCGTGGATCTTGGGCTTGACAGCTGCAGGGAATTGTTGAAGGTAAAGCATTTGAAATAACGTGAACCAGCCTGAAACGTAAACCTTTGGAAAATATTTCACTTTCTAGTGGATATATGATATTCTTCTGCCATTGATTTTTATTGTGGGGTCTTTACTTGAAGGATTGCTCGTAACTGACTGCTCACATGCCACAGGTGGGTTTTAGTATTTTAGTAGGTAAGGTGTCCTGGTTTAGGCTGCTCCAGCAATGAAACTCCGCACAGCTGCTCACTTACCCTCTGGGATGAGGAAGGGAATTAAAGGAGAAAAGGAAAAGAGACCCGTGGGTTGAGATAAGAACAATTTACTACGACTGCTACCAATATATAAATGTACCGATATGTACAAGGATAAATATATACGAATGAGTGATGTACGGTGTAATTGCTCACCACTCCTTGACCGAGGCCCGTCTCGTCCTGAACTAACGATCCTGAAACTGGGATAAGTCCTGATACCACAATCCCGGGCAAGCGAGAGGCCTGAAAATAGAGAGCGAGACGGAGAGAGCACTCTGAGTTGGAGAGTGAGAGCCCCGGAAGAGCAAAGGCCCTTCTTTCCAGCTACCCCACACTTTTATACTGGGCATGACGCTGCATGATAGGGAATACTTATTGTCCAATTTAACCCTCAATCCTAAGTCTAAGTACAAATTACAAGGAAAGTCGACCCCCCATCCCGGCCATGCTCCCCCTTATCCTGTTGTGCTCCTGCACACTGGCAAGAATACAGCAGGTGAAAAGTCCTTGAGACCTCAGTGCCAACTCCAAACATCAGTGTGCTGTCAGCATTCTCCTCAGAGCAAGTCTCAGACTAAAACCAAACCACAGAGCTCTTCTGGCTGTTAGAAAGAAGAGCTGACTGTCCCAGCTGAAACCAGGACAGGATTGACCCCTCGTTCCATACCATGCATGTCATGCTCAAACCTCATATATATACATAGATATTATTCCCTTAGTCCATGGGTCATCCCTCCAAAATACGTGTTGAGTTCATTCAGTCCGTAACTCCGGGCTTCATCTGTTGTAGCAATCTCTCAGGGCAGGAAAGATGATGTGGAATTCGCTCAGTCGGGAGAACGGATGACGCAGTCTCTAGGTTGAAGATGTCAGTCTCAAGGAAATTGCTGGGTGTCTGGAATCAGCTCTGGTTCTGTCGAAGGTTGTTCTTCATTAACCTGGATGACTCTTAATATAATGTCATTAGTATAATGTGACAATCATAGCAATGATGGTACGCAGTGACAGAGTTATTTAGCAGTTAATATCACACAATTCAATCCATTTTATTGTCTTATTTTCACCCAACATCAAATCCCCCTGGGGTATGCATCAGACTTCCTTGTCCTTCTGCATCACCCACCAAGTGCACCCAGGTCCTTGAGCAAAAGCAATCCCACGAATGGGTTTACCTTTACCCGAGGCAGGAATAACCCAGACTGTCTTCCCCAGTATATTCCTCATGTGCACTACAGGGACTTTATCCCCTTCTACAGTATGTAAAAGTCCTGATTGGGCAGGACCAGCTCGATTGGCAGATCCTCTAGTGTTGACTAACCAGGTGGCTTTTGCTAAATGTGTATCCCCATGTTTGAAGGTTCCACCACCCATTGCTTTCAGTGTGGTTTTTAGCAATCAGTTATATCGTTCAGTCTTCCCAGAAGCTGGTGCATGATAGGGGATGTGATATACCCACTCGATGCCATGCTCTTTGGCCCAAGTATCTATAAGATTATTACAGAAATGAGTCCCATTGTCTGACTCAGTTCTCTCTGGGGTGCCATGCCACCACAAGACTTGCTTTTCAAGGCCCAGGATAGTGTTCCGGGCGGTGGCATGGGGCACAGCATAGGTTTCCAGCCATCCAGGGGTTGCTTCCACCATTGTGAGCACATAACGCTTGCTGCTACGAGTTTGTGGAAGCGTGATATAATCAATTTGCCAAGCCTCCCCATACTGATATCTCAACCAACATCCTCCATATCAGAGACTTTAACTGCTTGGCTTGCTTGATTGCAGCACGTGTTTCACATTCATGGATCACGTTTGCAATAGCGTCCGTAGTTAAGTCCACCCCTTGATCACGAGCCCATCTGTATGTTGCATCTCTTCCTTGATGGCCTGAGGCATCATGGGCCCAACGAGCTAAAAATTTCTCACCTTTTTGTTGCTAGTCCAGATCCACCTGAGCCACTTTAATCTTAGCAGCCTAATCCACCTGTTGATTGTTTTGATGTTCCTCAGTGGCCCAGCTCTTGGGTACATGAGCATCTACGTGACGTACCTTTACAGCCAGCTTCTCCACTCGAGCAGCAATGTCTTTCTACAATGGGGCAGCCCAGATGGGTTTGCCTCTGCGTTGCCAGTTGCTCTGTTTCCATTGCCGTAGCCATCCCCACAGGGCATTTGCTACCATCCATGAGTCGGTGTAGAGATAGAGCATTGGCCACTTTTCTCGTTCAGCAATGTCTAAAGCCAGTTGGATGGCTTTCACCTCTGCGAACTGACTTGATTCACCTTCTCCTTCAGTAGCTTCTGCGACTCGTCGAGTAGGACTCCATACAGCAGCTTTCCATTTTCGATGTTTTCCTACAAGATGACAGGATCCGTCAGTAAACAGAGCGTATTTCTTCTCATTGCCTGATAGTTCATTATAAGGTGGAGCCTCCTCAGCACGTGTCACCACCTCCTCCTCTGGTGACATTCCAAAGTCTTTACCTTCAGCCCAGTTAGTAATCGCTTCCAAAATTCCTGGGCGATTGAGGTTTCCTATCTCAGCTCTTTGTGTGATCAGCGCGATCCACTTGCTCCATGTGGCATCAGTTGCATGGTGTGTAGACGGGACGCTCCCTTTGAACATCCAGCTCAGCAATCGAGGTGCCAGGAGCAACTGTGCTTCCATACCAGTCACTTCAGAAGCAACTCGGACTCCTTCATATGCTGCCAATATCTCTTTCTCCATTGGAGTATAGTTGGCTTTGGATCCTCTGTATCCCCGACTCCAAAACCTGAGGGTTCAACCTCTTGTCTCCTCTGGTGCTTTTTGCCAGAGACTCCAGGTAGGACCATTCTCCCTGGCTGCAGTGTAGAGCACATTTTTGACATCTTGTCCTGTCCAGACTGGTCCCAGGGCCACTGCATGAGCTGTTTCTTGTTTAATTTGTTCAAAGACTTGTCGTTGCTCAGGGCCCCATTCAAAATTATTCTTATTCCAGGTCACTTGATAGAGGGGTTTTACAATCTGGCTGTAATCTGGAATATGCGTTCTCCAGAAACCCACAATGCCTAAGAAAGCTTGTGCTTCCTTTTTGTTGGTTGGTGGGGACGTAGCTGTTATTTTATTAATCACATCCATTGGAATCTGACGACACCCGTCTTGCCATTTTATTCTCAAAAATTGAATTTCTCGCGTAGGTCCCTTGACCTTGTTTTGCTTTATGGCAAAACCAGCTTTTAGAAGAATTTGAATTATTTTCTCACCTTTCTTGAAAACTTCTGCTGTGTTGCCCCATACAATGATGTCATCAATGTATTGCGAATGTTCTGGGTCTTCACCCTGTTCCAGTGTGGTCTGTATCAGTCCATGGCAAATAGTGGGGCTGTGTTTCCACCCCTGGGGCAGTCGATTCCAGGTATACTGGACACCCCTCCAAGTGAAAGCAAACTGTGGCCTGCATTCTGCTGCCAAAGGAATTGAGAAGAATGCATTGGCAATATCAATTGTAGCATACCACCTGGCTGCTTTTGACTCCAGTTCATACTGAAGTTCCAGCATATCCAGCACAGCAGCTATCAGCAGCTATCGGGATCCCACTGCCACTCCAGAAATACTGATGGGATCTGCCCCTTTATAGCTTGATGGCATTTAGGGGCAC